CAGATTCCCTTTTACTGACAATACCCCAGCATGTCTCGTCTTCAACATCACTCACGGTAAATAAATGAATAGAGCTTGAGTAACCATGTGACTCAAAATCCCTTAAGATATATATGAGTGACAATTGAACAGCTGCTATCTTGGTTGGTCTAACAATAGAAGTTAATGACCAATGCTTTGTTATCGTCAACCAAGGTGACGTAACATGTACTTGCTCTATAGACCCTTGTGTCATTTTTCACTTTCTGAAGTTCAAGATAATGGACCTTTTAAAAAAACCATGGATACGAGCCTAAAACACAAAAACATACAAAATAAATAAAACTTTTAATACTGCAAACCAAATATATATCCTTGAAATAAGTGTATTTCACGGGTTAAAGATAAACAACTCCTCCACAAAGACTAAATAGCGATTAACTCATCTATTTCTTTTGTTTCAGATTGTTTTATTTTTGCTATTTTGTCCTAATTAGTTAGTACTATTTCACGAATATATGATTTTCACTCTACTCTATGAAATGTATGCCTTTTTTTCCATGTTAGCCTCTAATTTACGATAATTTTGAAAAGGGTCTTTTATATTACGTCCCTATCTAAAATACATTTCCCAATATGTTTTTACAGCAAAATGCTTGAGAAACGTCAACGCCTTGTTCAAGGACAACAAACTAAACTGTTCAAAGGAATGCACACCACCTTGCAAGTAAGTTAGTATATGTGATGTCACACGTTGCCATGGTGATAAAAGTGTAGACCGCATAGAGCTTTTTCTAGACCGATAGAGTAATATACTTCAATAAAAATTGAAAATTGGACAAGAAAAAGTTTTTTTCTGAAATATCAATCTTAAGTTAACCATCGTAGACTCACACATTTATTAGTTCTAGCGCTTAAGGATTTCTGGCTCTCTCTCAAGAGGATCGGGTTAGACTTGTTAATATTTGACTGTGCATTGTTTTTTTGGCATTTTTATTCATTGACCTCTTGAAAGTATTTACTCTTCTATGATTTTTTGAATTACTTTAAGGGAAGACTACTACAAGTTGTCTCCATCCTTTGCAGCTTGGCCTTCCAAGAAATATGAAGTAAGGAATATTAATTATTCGCCAACTGGTATTATAGATATTTGTATTTTTGATAACAAAAGTAATATTGATCAATGATCAACTCAAATCTTAGAAAAGATTAAAATATTCTATATTCGTTCTAGGAAGAACTTGATAAAGGCAAAAATGAGGATTTGAACAAGCAAATCCGTTTCAGGTAAATCAAATTTCGTCGACTTTAGGTGACTTGGTGGTAGATTGTGGGATTATCTGGGGGCGATGTTAGGAAGTTTCGAAATCTTTGGTCATTAAGTCCCACGATCCTGAGTCTCTAAAGATCGTTTCTAGTCTTCCCTTCACTTCGGAAACGCCATGAACTTTAGTTGTTCTGAAGTGTTTTAGAAGAAGAGAAAGTGCATTTGTCGAAATGGAAACTTATATCAACACAACACTTGACTCTTCCCCTTTAATCCAAGGAATTGTGTCAAAAAAAATTTCATGTCCAAAAACGGAAAACAGGAGAAATGATTTGATATGAGTTCGGGTATCCTACAATATTGCATGTACTAATATATAGAGGTGCTGTTTCCATTTCTGGGGGATATTTTGACTCACATAACCTCCTAGTGTAAGTCCGTTGTCATTATGTTTTGCAATTGTCTCTTTGTTTATAGCGATAACTACCTTAAAGTCAGCATATTCTTTGAGCAACTGAACTATGAAATTATTGAGGAGACGGTCTCTTATGGGGTAGGTATAAACTTGACAAACACTGAGATAATAGGCTTTTATTGTGAATTTGAAACGGCACGGCACGTTACACAATTTAAGACGTCATTTAAACCAATCAGAACTCACGAAATCACGGGTTATCCGATGAAATTGCACGGAGACGATCTAGCATGGCAATGCGCGCCCGTCCGTACCGTTAAAAGCCTTTCTCATTCATACAAATATGCTGCAATGCAGCATACTTAAACTAAGGGATTGCACTTCATGTTGGCCGACTAGATCTCGGATCGCAACAAAAATGGTCAAACAAATTAAAGGGCTGAATAATCTTAATGTATAGCAAAAACACTCCCAACCTCTAAAATTTGATTTATGATTTTAAATTTGGATGTATTATTTTATTTATTTTGAAAAATCCAGAATCGTGCATTGATTGAATGAACTGGACTTCGATTTACTGGATGTTGGGTCGAGAAAAATGCCTACACTGAATTCAGTGCAGCTTTTATTCTAGTATTTAAAAACCCTCTAACCAAGAGAGAGACCAAACAAACTTTTCTCACATCTGTGATGCCGAGTCTTGAAATCAAAAACATATATTTTTTCATTCATTAGGTGATTGACTTTGTCTCCGACGTGGGAGGTCAACTG